TGCAAAAAAGCACAGCCAAGCACGGCAGGCGACTGAGAAACAACAGCCACCAGTCTTGGAGGCTCATCTCGCTTTGCTCAACCGCCACTGAGACGCAGACAGCACTGATGGCACATGGCCGATGCCAAAAGAATCTAACACCATGTCATGACATGACCTAGTAGCGTCCTTGCTCTTAGTAGTAGTCCTAGTAGTAAGGCCAGGAGCCCCTAGTAGCTGATGTGTTTCAAGAAATCGTCGACATTACGTTTTGTCAAAACAAATCGGTTGATGCATATTGACGAGGCATATTATGTTTGCTTTGAGGTGAACTTGCCGCTGCTTTTTGTCCGGCAGAAGAGATCCATTGCGTTCCTCCACGTGTGCGAGAGGCAGTTGTGTTTTGGAAAGTTCGTGGGATGTCATATGAGTCACAAGTATACAAAGTCTGCCTAGTCCCCACCTAACGAGTGCAGTGAAGCTAAACGGGAAACCAGAACAAGCACAACACAGATTATTGTCAAACAAGGAAAATGTCAAGAAAAGAAAACATCCCTAAAGCAGGTCTAAAGAAGAAAAATGTGCAAAAAAAGGTTGAAAGAAGGAAAGATGGTCTAAAGACGAACGCAAAGATCGCCTTTTGACTTCGATTCTTTGGACTCTTCGATTGCAGACTCTGAAGTCCTCATCACCAGAATGTGGCTTCGGAGTGCTCGCCACTGATTTTAAGAGAGAGGGAGGGAGGGAAAGAGGTCGGAGCGCCTTTGGAATTTTAATTCCATTTAAACTTAATAGTTTCTAATAGCGTCTTTGTTACTACTAGTAAGGCACTTGTTACTAGTAGCGATGCCAGGAGCCCCTAGTAGCGTTCTTGCTCCTAGCCTGAAAAACTGTTCAGAACGGATTTGAATGTCCATTGCATATCGCCGCCGCCATGACCAAACTATACGTGTAATGATGTTTTTTTGGTTGTTCAGTACATCTCAGAATGAAAGGAGATGAGTTGTTTGTAATTGAGGCGATGACTGCTTTGGTGGCGATGGCCTTCCGATTCTGATGCCGCAAAACGACGGCATGGACCGCAGCTACTTAGGTTTTCGCCACCAGGCTTTAGATTCTGGATTTTGCGCATGAAGCGCTCAGATGGCATCACTCACATTCCAACAAATTCAATCAAATTTATATCTGTTCATACATATTGCGCTTGAAATCGCTTGAATACCCCGTCCAGTTGTCGATCCAATGGAAAATGAACAGTGCAGGGACGCAGGGCTGTCTATTTCTTGGACTACGCCACTTAGAGAGATATGCAGCACGTGTGTGTGAGACTTTGTCACAAGCAAGCCACAACGAGAGCAGGATTCTGCCCAACATGCATGCAGTGCAGCGAACTAGCACTCCTTTCCTTCACAAGAGGTCCACAATTGTTTTAAAAATTTAGCAGTTTTCGGAAAACTCACAGTTTTGGAAGAGTTTCCGTTTTCTATGTCCACAGTTTCGTAAATGAAGCGATGGAGATGGGCACGAAGATTTGGAAGGCACATTGAATGTGATAAGCCGAGGATTGAAGAGTGTTGTTTCGAGAACAGACTTTGTTTCTCATTTCTTTTGGATTGCTTTCGTTGACTTTGAAGTATCTTTTTATTTTGTATCATTCGACTTCCATTTCGAAGGGGAAGCTGCTGAAGCTCCTGTGCCTCGCGCAAGAGATGTGAGATATGAGATATGTTTTTAACCAGCTTGTTAACACATCAAGCTTGGCAACTGCTTTGTTAACAACTCTTGATATCTCTTGTTGTAAAAGTTCAGCTTGTTGCCGGGGAAGTTCTTTGAGGACCTTGCTTTGGCTCCAGGCGGGAAACACGCTGAAGAGAACGCAAAACACGATTCGGCACGGATCTTTCGTCCAGGCCGCTTCAGGGAATGATGTGAATTGGTGTGAGACCCCAGATAAAGTTGAGCCATCCACAGTTTTCACACCCGTTTTTAAAGTTTTTTTGTTAATCTTAGTCTTTTTGTGGGGGTAGGCCGCTAGGAGGTTGGTAGCTAGTAGCTAGAGGTAGCTACTACCTGCAAGTAGCCGCAGGATAGCCTTTGCTTCCTTGAAGAAGCGCTCGCACTAATGATCTGGTTCCCAGATTTGTTGAGAAACTCAAGTCGTCCAAGCTTGTTCCCACTGTTCTTGAAAGGAAGAGGAAAGAAGAAAGGAAGAAAAAACGAGAGGTCTAAAGGTGAAGTTTCCCCAAGAAACTAAAGAAGGTGGGTCACTGAGAGCAGGCGTATTTTCAGCTTGCATCATCATGACACAAACAGTTTTCCTCTTACAAGTTTCTTTGCCTTTGCCTTTTTTCTATTTGGATTTCCTACATTAGCTGCTTCAACAAAGGGAAGCAGGATGTTGTACAAGCAGGGATACGAAGAAGAGGAGCTAACTACCAATACAGCACACTGACTCAAGAAGAGGGGTACTTAATCAAAGATTGAGGGTCTATCAGAGGGTGCTCCTTGGGTAACACGGGCATTACATGGCATTACTATTACTACTAGTAACAATCAGTCCTGCATTTGACCTCAGACCTGGAGCCATAGAGCAGCCTGCTGGGAGGAAGAGAGAGAGAGAGAGGAAGAGTTAAAGAAACTATATAGAATTACATTGTTTGTTATATCTTTCAATCGGTTGTATCACCAATGAAGACCTGATTTCAAGGAAGAAGAGCTAACTGACAAAACTACAAGCGACAAACCCAAGAACAAAAGAACCACTGTGGGAGTACCGAAAGTTCGATTTGAAGAACTTTGTGACAAAAAACAGGAACACTACTGGCACAGACGTTATTCCTGCAGTCAGTTTAGGCATGCTGTCCAAACCAAAGACACAAGAAAGATGTGGAACCAATAGAAAGATATCTTCGTTTTGCCTCGACATAGAAGAAGCTAGTAAATCCTCTTGCATTTTGTCTAGCTTATTACGTTCTTTAGTAAGGTCTTTCTTTAGTTAAAGGAACATATTGATTGTATCAGCAGTAAAAGAGCTTACCAACAGAAATACAAGAGCTTACCAATAGTCGACAAACAAGCCAAGGAGGAAAGGAACTTTGTTTAAGAAGGGGACTTGCTATTTCAAGTAGTGGAATGGCCACCAAGACAAAAAAATAACTACAAAACAACCAACAATTAGTGGACCAAGACAGACAAACCAAAACAAAGCAGTCAATGGTCAATGGATTGACCTGGTCTAAATAATGGTCTGAAGGGTTGAACTTCAGCTCCAACTGTGTGACATAACCAAAAAACAAAAGAACCAATGTGACATATGGTATTGGGTCAGTAGTTGTGTTTTCTTTTGATTTTAATAAACCTATTTGGGGTTTTGGTTGGGCTGTCACGGAAGCAAACAAGCAAAGCAATGCCCAATGTGTAAAGCATGCCAGGCAAACAATCTGCATAGAATGCAGAATACATGCAACGTGCACACGCTCAGGGTAGGTAGCCAATTCTGAAAAAATCACTATGTTTGTTCATTCATGGAAATACTTCCAGAAAACCTTTTCAGGGGTAGTTCGGTTCGTTGCACCAAAGTGGACACGACCTGTTCCACGGAGTCTCATATTTCCTTTTGCATACTCGAATTCCTCTTTATTTGGTGTCATTTGATGCCTAATTTAACCTGTTGCCTTTTGAGTCCGTCCAAATGTGACCGTGTCCAAATGATTTTCTGCTCAGTTCGAGTCATCATGAGTGCTTGGCAACCTTGGCTCGCGTCACCTCTGTCAGACAAGAAAAGGAGGCGAGAGTCGGTCGGTCGAACTGTTGAACTACGTGTTTCTAGCGATGGCCTGCAATCTAAGAGTAGCCTTGCTACTTTGTTATGTCTTTTCATTATGCCTTTAATGCCTTTAGACCCTTATAATTATATATCACTATTCTTTCTTGAATCATTGAAAAACCATGCCACTAAAGAGATGCTGGATGTCTGACATCAACGGATCTGGGTGGTGCTGTGACCATCTCTCAAGAGTCAACTGGCAACCAGGGAGGCCATTGCTATTAGGTTTGTGAGTTTCTGTGAAAGACTCAAGCCACGGACATGAGATGTCCATATGGTTGTTTCATGAGTTCCACTCCCTTGGCCATATGGCCCTAAACCACCTTTAGCGGTGGGCGCTGCAGCACTCGTGAGCAATGGCGAAAAGAGGGCACTGACTTCGCGTGCCGTGTCCCGCACTTCGATTTCCAAGGAACCTCGTTTGTCTTTGGATTCCACTTGGGCTACCTAGCTTTGCTACCTCTGTCCAAGTGACATTGGTAGCGGAGCGGTCATCCTCGGACCGCTCCCTGCCACTCCGCACTACAACTACAACCTCCACACCTTCCAGGTTCACTCCAACCTCCTCGGAAACTTCACCCACAACTAAAGCTTCTTCTTCACGCTCAGGAGCAGTGCTTCTTGACGAGCTCTACCTCCTTGTTGAGCGCTACCCCTCTGAGCTTGGCCTAGCTGGTGAACACCTTCTACCTCACCTACTTGGTTGAGTGTGTCATCAGAAAAGAAAGTCGAGCTTGACAATCATTCAGCTCGAGACAGTTTCATCCCGCTCTTCGATGGATCCCTAACGGGATATCGGGAATGGAGGAAAAGAATCACCATCTACTACAAGAAAATGTCCTTGTCCAAGAGACAAGGAGAGGCCATACTGAACTTGCTGGGCAGTTTGTCCGGCGCGGCTTGGAAGCTTTGCGAGGACTTCAGCATCGACAAAGCGGAGGATCCTGAGGCCCTGACTGAGATCATGAAGATCCTTGACGGCTCCTTTCACTACGACTCCAACGTGGAGATGCCGGCAGATTTCTCGAGCTACTTCGAGAACCTTGCCCGCAAACCCGGTCAGACCCTGCTGAGTTTCGTGACCGAACACGACGACCGGCTGAAGCAGATTGAGAAACATGGAGTTCGCCTTCCAACTCAAGTTCAAGGATGGTTTCTTTTGGCAAAAGCCTCACTGACCCGCGAACAACGGTAGATGATCAAGATGATCATGACACAAGCCGCCTCTTTGGAACGTCCAAAAGTTCAGCGAGCAATGTTCGCCATCCTGGGTCAGGACTACAAAGGAGGAGGAAATCTTCTTCGAGACCGATGGAATCGCTCCAATTCTGGAAAGGGCCGGTCCTACTTCGCCGGCGACGATGAAAGCGCAGCAGAATGGGGCGAAGAAGACACCTACTATGAGGAGGAGTCAGATCCAAAAGGAAGAGGCCGCGCTGCTTTGGCTGCCGCTTGCGTGCGCTGTGGTTCAACCTCTCACAAGACAGCGCAGTGCGCTCAGCAAGCAACTCCGAAGCCATCAACTACCTCTTCAGGCAAACGCCAAGCAGTGGAAAGCATGGCCATCCTGACCGACGAGACCTCACTGGTTATGTTGGAAGATGCTGCAGGCCATGAACCTGAACGACCTGATTGCGCTATGTTGGACCCTGGAGCTTCTTCGTTTTTGATGGGGTCAAAGCCTCTAGCTCGCTATGTCAACCACATCCAGCAGCTCAGCTATGACATCTCACAATTGCAGCTCCATCGATGCCAACGAACCTTCCACTTTGGCAGTGACCATCAAAAGGTCAGCTCATGGACGGTCAAAGTCCCAGTATATTATTTGAATGGACAACACGGCCTGATCCAAGGATTTGTTCTGTCGGGCGAAACGCCTATGTTGGTTGGACGCCCTGTGATCAAGGCGCTCGACATGACGATCGACTTCTCACAGCAGAGGATCAGGTTTGGCAATGATGATTGGCAAGATGCTGTCCTTGGCCGCCACGAAGAATATTTGTTGGACCTCACGTCCACCTTTGACTCCGAGCAATTGAGCTGGGAACCTTCCTTCGATCTGCAACTGGATGAGCAGCTTGGTGACCGCGGCTCATACGATGAGTTCCTGACCGAAGAAGCCATCTACCAGGTTGAGGACAACCTCATGCCACAGTTCACCGCGCCGCTGACCACGAAGCATTGGAAGACCTTGGTCATGCAATCACAAGCCCAGCTGAACAACCTCAACGCCTCCGTGGACGACACCCTCAGAGAAGAGCACCACGCTCCTCCTCGTGTTCTTTGGGAAGTCTACACAGGACGCGCAAGACTATCTCAAGTTGCTGAGGCCATTGGCATGACTGTCAAGACGTTCGGCTATGAGACAGGATGGAACTTCGCGCTGTTGTCACACCAGCGTGCCTTCCTGGCCCTTCAAGATGAGGAAATGCCGGACGAGGTCTATCTTTCCCCAAGCTGTGGTCCACGGTCTCGCATGCAGAACATCGCAGCCACCTCCGAACAGCGACAGGAGATCCTCCGGAACTTGCGAGATTGGCATCACCGCACTCATTTGCAGTTCTGCAAGCGCGTGTACCTCAAGCAGATCACCGCAGGAAGGCACAGCCACATCGAGCAGCCGACGTCCGCACTCTCTTGGGAAACAACTGCTCTTCAAGCCCTACCAGGCTACAAGGCCAGGCATCGTCAATGCCAGTATGGTGCAGTCTGCATGGACACCGATCGTCAATGGAAGGCCGCCAAGAAGGATACCACCATCATGACATCCAAGAGGATCGTGGCCGAGACGATGAACAAGCTCTGCGCCGGAGATCACGAACACTGCCGCCTAGAGGGCTACATGAAAGGCTTTGGCACTCATCGCACAGCCTTCGATCATGGAGGACTATCAACCAGCTTTCTGCTCTACATTGGCTACCGCTCTGGCCAGTTCTGAACGACCTGAACTGTGGGAGAATGCTTTCGCTGTCCGCGGACACACCCAGTACCTCGGTAAGATCGTGGATCTACATGCAACTGGCAAGCAGAATGCACTTCGAGTTGTACAAAAGCTTCACCGCAACTTGGGACATCCTGCAGCCCAAGCCTTGGTTGACTTGCTGCATTCTCGCGGTGCCTCAACTGATGTGCTCTCCGTGGCCGAGAACTACCTTTGCAGTTCCTGCCTTCGCTACAAGAAACCGAACCAGCCGGCTCCGGCTACAGTTCAGAAGGCAGATCACTTCAACCAGTCCATCCAGGCCGATGTCTTTTGGATCCGCGCGGAGAAGAAGAAATGGCCTGTTCTAGCCATTCTGGACAGTGCCACCAAGTACCAAGTCGCCTGTCAGGTGCATTCAGAGCAAACCAGCGACTACATCGCAGCCTTGGAACGACACTGGATTGCACACTTTTGGCACTCCTGAGGAGCTTGTCACAGATGAAGGTCGCGGCTGGCTTAGCAATGAATTTCTCACCTGGACCGATGAACACAGCGTGGCACACAAAGTTGCCCCAGGAGAAGCTCATGAACGCCTCGGCCAGGTTGAAAGAAGACACTCCGTCCTGAGAAAAGCGATTGAAGTCTATATGCATGACCTCAACCTCGAGGGCAAGAACGGCGTCAGGCAAGCATTGACCTACATCATGCCTCAGTTGAACGCTCAGCCAACGGTTGCAGGCTTTTCTCCCACTCAATGGGCGCTTGGATACGAACCTGCTCAACCTGGTCTCCTTCATTCCAGTGATTGTGCACTTCATGGCCATGAGACCTTTGAGAAGCACCTACATCAACGAAATGTGGCAAAAACTGCAATCCTCCAGGCCGAGACGATCGGAAACTGAGAAGAGCATTGCTGCGACGCTACTCTGGCGTCAATCAGCGACTGATGGCAGGTCAACGATGCTTCTACTGGCGTGATGCTCAACAGCACGAACTTTGTAAGATTCGATGGCGAGGTCCAGCCAAAGTCGCTTGTGTCGAAGAAAAGGACGGCTATCCTCACACATACTGGCTGGCCCACAAGACTCAGCTGATCAGAGCAGCGTCACTGCCATCGAGGACACTGCCGTTGAGAACCTCAAGGGCGCCACTCAGACACTTCAGCAACTGAAATCCCGAGGTGTCACTCGCTTTGTCGACCTCAACAAGGCCAACAAGAACGACCCCTGGGACGTTGAGTGTAGGATTCTTATGGGCTTGCGCGTGAGAATACCACTCTCTCTAATTCACCCTGGCTGTCGACCCTTTTGTTGACTTGGTGTGCTTGTCAAGTGTCAAGAAGCCCTGAGTGTTTTGTGCCTGGTTTGGCATTTTCGCTTTATATCCCTTGGGTTCAGAAATTCTTTCCCCCCCACCCTCCTCTAGGAAATTCTGAACAACTTGTGGAGAAGCCAGAATCTGTTGAACGCTCTGGTGCAGGGCCTTTTTGCCAAGTGTTCAGGGAGTGTGGGGCTCTCTACACGAACCCTTGCCCTGCAAGGAAGAATGCAGCTTGTGAATGCAGCGATCAGCATCTCTACACCCCCGTGCTCTGACCCAAGCCCTGGGCTGGGAAGGTGGGCCTGCTGGGCTGCCACCCAGCAGGCCCACCTGGCAGGATTGATCAAGCGTTCTGAGCATTGGAAAATGCTGCTGAGAGTGCAGGTGTTGGTTGTGGTTTGGGTCCACACACTTGGTGGGTTGTGTTGACCTGGGAGTAAGCTAGGTGAGTTTGTAGAGAGAACATGAGGAAGAGTTGTCAGCTGATGAAGGACCTGACTCCAAACGAAGACGCATTGAGGAGACTCCCATCGATGATGACATGGAGTACAGACCCTCAGAGCCTCCAGAACCATCGGAAACAACAGGCAATCCTTCCTTCCCGGCACCGGCTCCAGAACTGACAGAGTCCTCAACACCTGGACAAATGCAAATTGAGCCTCGTGACCCTCGTGAACTACCTCCTGTACCAGAGCTCTCTGAGTTTGATGAACAGTCCGATCAGCCAGAACCTTCTTTGGAACCAGAGCCACCGACAGTGCCTCACACTCCAGTGAACTTGGACCCAGTGACCTCCGAGGCATTTCGCCCACCACCAGGTCCTGAAACCTTTCAACAGCAGCGTCTTCGACTGGATCGGCAAGAAACGTTATCCTTTGGACCTCAACGACCACGACACCATGAACAGCCGAGTCCATATCAGAAACCTCCGGGTGAAGCTGTTGAAATGGCCTTCGAAGTACAAGACCTGGATCAGTCACGACTGCCATCTGGCTGGGTCTTCAACAAAGCCACTCACAACCTGGAACTGAAGCACAAGTTGGCTGACTTCTGGGAAGTCAAAGGTGGCTGCCTCATCAGACACCACATCCGACCTCGTTCAAAGAAGTTCACTCCTTCAGATCAAGCTGATCTACCTGTACCGATCGAGCACCTGGACAACATCCGGGTCACCATCTTCAGAGAACATGGACAAGATCCGTCTTCTACCACCGACCACTTCAAGACTGAGAATGTGTTCCGGCAACACTCCAAGGAAGCTCCAAAGAAGCTGCCATCGAAGTGGACAGGTTGCACCATCTTTCAGATCAAGGCCGAAACCCGTCGTGAATTGGGTATGACAGCCACCATGTCCACAAGCTCTCCAACCTCAATCCGGCCTATTCGAAAGGCAGCTCAGCAAGTGAAGACGCAGCAACTGCGCGACATCAAGAAGGAAAAGTCTGAGATCCGCGAGAAGAATCTCACCCAAGCTGAGCAGCAGTTGTTCTATGAGGCCAAATGCAAGGAGCTTCGCAGTTTCTTTGAATGTGGAGTCTGGGAGTTCACCACCTCCGACAAGGCCGACGCACAGAGAACCCTGTCCAGCAGAATGTTGTTGAAGTGGGCGAAGAATCCTGACGGATCACCAAGAGCAAAAGCCCGTCTTGTGGTTCGTGGCTACAACGATGCCGATGCCTTAGCTGGCAATCTGGACACACAGTCGCCGACAGCATCCCGATTGGCTAGAAGCCTTCTCCTCTCCATCTCAGCGATGCTTCACTGGCATGGTTGGTCAGCAGATGTGGCCACGGCTTTTCTTCAAGGAATGCCCCAGACAAGACAGCTTTGGCTCAGGTTGCCCAGCGACTGCTTGCAGATCCTTGCATGCGGCCCAGAAACCCGCATGGCTCTCATCAAGCCCGTCTATGGACAACTGGACGCACGCACCTCGGCGCTGGTGGCAGGAAGCCACGCGACGCCTCACTCAAGAAGGATGGGTTCCACACGACCTTGATCCATGTCTTTTTGCGCTTCACCACAACAAGGACGACAACACCTCCGAACCACGTGGACTCATCGCCCTGCACGTTGATGACATGCTGGGTGCAGGTGATCGAAGCTGCCCAACCTACATCGCAGCTGAGCGTCGCTTGAAAGAAGTTTTTGACTTTAGAAGCTGGCAAGAAGACTCCGAAACCATGGAATACTGTGGAGTTCTACATCAACGAGAGAACTTCGCATGGACGTTGTCTCAAAAGCACTTCCTCCAGAAGGTCAAACCAGTGACCATTCATCGAGGCCCTACAGCCGAAGATCCCATGAATGATCAAGACAAAGCCCAACTTCGTGCTCTACTGGGAAGTCTTCAAAGGCCAGCAGTACAGTCACAACCTCATCTTCAGGCTAGCTGCAGCCTGATCAGCGGTCAGCAGCGCAGCAGAAAGCTTCGAGCAATCATCGAAGCCAACTCACTTCTCAAGTTCGCCAAAGAAAACGCTGACGTGACCTTGAAGTACGAGCCCTTCGAAACCGTCAAGAAGCAAAGTGACCTCCACAAGATCCGGTTGGTGATCATGTTTGATGCATCACATGCTGCAAGAGAAGATCACACTTCTCAAGGTGGCCACCTGGCCATGTTGGTTCCTGAGGAATCCTTTGAGCAAGAGACACCATACCATGTTGTTGACTGGCGAAGCTACAAGCTACCTCGCATCGCCCGCTCAAGCCTCAGCGCAGAAGCTCAAGCAGCAGGTGGCGCCAGCGACACGGCAGAGTTCATCAGTCGCTTCTGGTCGATCATCTTTGATCCAAAACCTTCCCTTCGAGAACGACTACATGAAGTGTCAGCATTGAAGCCAACGTTGATCACAGATGCAAAAGCACTCTACGACGCTTGGCGCAAGGAGACAGCAACCTCAGCAAGCTCCTCCGTGGACAAGCGCACCTACTTGGAGATCAAAGTGGCCAAACAACAAGTATGTGAACTTGGGGGCTGCCTTAAGTGGATTAGCTCTGAACGACAGTTTGCAGATGGCCTGACAAAGAGCTCAACCAGAGGACTCTTGGCAGTTCGCATCCGGCGACACAAAATCAAGTTGGCTTGGGACCCTCACTACACCGCCGCCAAGAAGAAGAGCAAGCAGGAGAGGGAAGCGAGTCGACAAGTGTTCGCTGACCCCAAGTCGAGAAAGAAGAAGAAGACCACAAAGGACGAACACACCACCAACAACCTACAACTCAACCACACCGACAACCTCGAGAGCGCGCAGGAAGAACCACACGAAGAGGAACTGGCTCTCTTGGACAGTTCGCCTAATGAGAACTTGGCTGCAAGGTCTGGCACCACAACCTTGAGATCCCCGATGGCACTACTGATCTTCTTCACCCAGCTCAAGGCTGTTACTGCAGCGCAGATGGATGATGCAGGAGTCTGCACTATGGATGATGACCCCGATACAGGAGGGTACTTCCTCAGGTGCTTGGCGCTCTTCATGCTGATCACCATCCTCATTCTGTGCTACCTGTCCTACAAGCTCGGAAGATTCCTGGAGCGTAAAAGCCAGGTTCGTGACCTGACGGTCAAACTTCGTGTTGCAAATGCTCGCAACCAGCGACACTTTGATGCCGCCTTGGACGAGCAGAACCTTCAACTGGACCACCGAATGCTCAGTTAGAGAACGACCTCGTGAAAGCTGCCGAGACCAACTTCGAGAACAAAAGACACCGCAATGAGATGATGGAACAATGGAACATCGAGCAGCAAGAGGCCGAGACCATCGACCAAGCTTTTCAGCAATGCCAAGGACTACTAATTTGGCGGTGCTACAACGAGCTCCTGTACCACTTTGAAGAGGAATGCCCCACTGAACATGGAGTTCTCGTGGCGCCTTTCGGCCATGTCTGGCACACCACCTCTGAGTGCCAGGGTTTGAAGCAAGCCCATAGAGTTGACCGCCGACCTGTTTGCCACCATTGCGAGCCCCTTCCAAGGACTCCGAATGTGGTCAATGGCCTGAGCGGCGCCACCCTCGCTCAGGACATGGGAAGCTGGCGCCAGCAATGGGGCTACCTAAGCTATGAAGCTTGGATGACCGACTGACAGCTGCCGCTTGAGCATTTTTTTGAACACCGTCCACCGGTGTGAGTTTCTGTGAAAGACTCAAGCCACGGACATGAGATGTCCATATGGTTGTTTCATGAGTTCCACTCCCTTGGCCATATGGCCCTAAAGCAATGGCGAAAAGAGGGCACTGACTTCGCGTGCCGTGTCCCGCACTTCGATTTCCAAGGAACCTCGTTTGTCTTTGGATTCCACTTGGGCTACCTAGCTTTGCTACCTCTGTCCAAGTGACAAGGTTGGTTATTAAGAACTCTGTGTTTCAGGCAGAAGCTTTGAGGCTGCTTGGTGTTGCAAAGATTGCCTTTGAGAAAGCCTCCCTCTCAGAGGAGCGAAAAACGTCAAGAGCTTCTATCAAAACAAAAGGCAATTAATTAGACAAATTTAGGAACACAGCAACACCAAATAGGGAAACTCGAATTCGGCCAGAACTTGGCTCAGAAGCTGGGTTGCAATGGACAGGGAATCAGGGTTCCCGGTGGGGGTTGTCGGGGTTCAGACCTGACTGTTTGTGTTTATTTGTTTTGTTACTATGGGTTTCCAATGTTTCTGTTTTTTGTCCTAGAATCTATCTAATTTACTTGTAACTCATCTCACGGTTTTTCCGCTTCCTGCACCTTGCGTGTGTTTTTGGTTTTGTGGAGATCTTAATGCTCTTTGCGACGCTCGCTGGGGGAAGGAGCAAAGCAAAGGCTCTTTGGCTCGTGCACAGCGAGCTGAAACAGAGCAGGCTGCACAAGAAACACTCATTGAGCGGAAAAGGCGTTACATATGTTTACTCATTTACAGCCACTGCAGTACCTATTGCACTCTCTTTTGTCCTTTACATCTCGCATGTGACTGGCTAGGCTAGATGGGAGGGAAGGCAAAATGACCTTCAGACAGAAGTGAGGCAGGAAACACTGTTAGAAACACTGAAAGGTTTGTTCAAGCAAAACGCAAGTTTCTTCAGTAATGTATCGCCTTTGTTTGTTGTTCTCACGCAGGCTCTTGGAGAAGAAACTGCAGAACTCCTCGGCTGCCTTGAAGGCGAAGTGTCTTTGGTGCTCCGTACGGTAGCAGGTGCCGCTTCCCGAGTAGCTTCCAGATCCTTCCAGTAGTAGCGTCCTTGCTCCTAGTAGCGATGCCCTTTGCTCCTAGTAGTTTCTTGCTCCTAGTAGTAAGGCCAGGAGCCCCGTTCGTAGCGTCCTTGCTCATGCTTCCTCATGCTTCCTCCTTGTTCTCAGCTTAGCCCTCGACTCTTCACACGACGCATTGGAAGCAAGACCCGCCCCCCTCAAAGGGGTTCAAGTCTTGAATCCGAAACGGGCGTGCGCCGTGTGCAATCTGTAATCTGTGCAGACAAAGAAAGTACATCCTTGCGTGGCCATGCGTGGCCGTTTTGTTTTGCACATCCATCGTAAATGAGCGGCCCAGGAACAAGATTTGCAAAGCAACTCCGAGCATCTCAACCGAGTCGGCGATCGGGTTGTTTCTAATTATAGTTATTGTTTCTAATAGCTTCTTGTTACTACTAGTAAGGCACTTGTTACTAGAAGCGATGCACTTCTAGTAGCTTATTGTTTAACAAAATTCGCAAAGCAACTCCGAGCATCTCAACCGAGTCGGCGATGGCAGGAAGCAGAAGCCGCGGAACAACGTGAAGTGACGGCCAGTTCTCCCGGGAGATTCGATCGATTCGACAGACTTTCGCCACAAGAAATGAACTTGACAAGTAGGAACAAGGACGCTACTAGGGGCTCCAGGCCTTACTACTAGGAGCAAGGACGCTACTAGGGGCTCCTGGCCGTACTACT